CATAATGATTCTATGATTCTATAAAGAAATACAAATACATCCCAAAGATGTATTTGCAGAGACAGCCTTTTGCAGATATTCACTCAGGCTCTTGGGTTAATGGGTAATAAAGCTAATGGAGAAGTTCCAACAAAAATACATTCCATTCGAGCACAGTTGCCACTGTAGAGGTCTACCTGGAGAATGAGCTTGTCTCTTAGAGAGCTGCATTATGTAGCTACACAACTCATGCAGCCTGAGTATTGCTGCCATCAGCGTGTTTCCGAAGGGAGGGAATGATCAACCTGAGAATCCAGTCTGCTCTGGAGAGAGTTACTGCTTAGCACTATGAAGAAGACCTGGTCGTCACCATCTGCCCGTTGGCCAGGATGTTAATTAACAGACCTGACAAATATCCCAAATATATACTTAAAAAATAATAAATTAAAAAAATCCTTTGACAGAAAGCAGGAAGTCTAGACGTGTTCAAATAGCACAAAACAAGTTTGTTTCAGTACTAGAAACAATTTACTCTGGGGTAGCATGGAGTTCCACAAGGCCTGGTTTACTCCATGAGAAGGGCTTTTGAAACTATTTCAAGAATTTCTAAAGACATCCCTTGTCCAAGGGAATCCTTCTCACGTGTCAGTTTGTAAGTATAGCTAGACCTACCTTGTTCTTCTTCATTGCACAAACAAAAGGATTGTTATCTAATTTACTTTTGTCTGCTGTCAGGTTTGGCTGTTGTCATCTCCTTCTGTAAATGGAAAAAGCAAAATTTCACTCACATGTCCACTGCCTCATAAACTAATCATTGCTGGCTGAGTTAACTGTATTCTTTAGTTTCAATATTTTATAACCATTTTGAATTAAGAAACACTAGTTCTTTTTGTTTTAATAGAGATTTTAACATTACCCTGGTGGTTTATATACATACATAAAACAAATGAATAATGAAACTTGGATTTGGGAATTCCTTTTTTTCCACTCTTATGTTGATTTTCACTATATGTTTTAAGCCCAACATCCCAAATCTGCCTTCTTACAGCTGCCTTGCTCTCTGACTTTCTTTAGAAACTGCACTAAAGTTGTTTGTCTTCTATTACAGGTGTAAAATGAAAACATATCCGAAAGACCTTCCAATGCTCAGTGCTGTACTTATATTTATGAATGAAGCACTGTCAATCATCTTACGTGCAATTACCAGTATAATTAACCGAACACCTTCTCATTTATTGAAAGAAATCATCCTGGTCGATGATTACAGTTCAAATGGTAAGTGACCCAGGGAAGGTAGGAGTCTTGCTGATTTAGGCCACTGTTGTGTTAAATGAATATTGGTAGCCTTTTGGGTGCACGCAGAGTATACCACTCAAAAGTAAACTGAGTACAGGAAAAAAACCCAAACACCTTAATAGCCTGAAAAAAGGCAGCTAGTCAGGAACAGGGTAATGCTCTGCAAGTATTTGAAAAGGTTAAAAATTGAAGTGGAAGAGTATTTATCATCACTGGGTCATCAGGCACAGCGCCAACATAAGAGTATGCTAAGAAAACTATCTCTGTAGGTATCTGAAATAACTCCTTGAAGAGTGGTGGCTTGGGATGTGGAAAATACTCCTAGGGGAAGCAGTGGGCGTACTGTTTTTCTTAAAATTGAGCTCAACGAAGCATTGTAAAATCATCTGTAAGAAACAGTCATGCCCCTGATCTTAAGGGTGCTTTGCCTGATGAGATATGTTTGATTTCTTATTTTTCTAAGGCTTTGTAGCTGCTAGAAAAACATGTCTGTTTGGGTGGAGCAAGTATTTAAGTCGATTTCCAGAATGATGCTAAGAGGTCCCAATTTTCTATTCCTTTTCTCTGACATGATTTTTTTCTTTGGTGAGGGAGCTGGCATGCCTACAGCTCTTATAGGAGCATTTCAGGTTTTCAGGGCTTGTTTATTTTATCTTTTCCTTTCCACATGGTGGAAGATAGAAGCAGAAATTACTGCACTGAGACAGCTTATTGGTTGCTGTTATGGCATGCAGTGAAATTTTCTACATACTGATACATTTATTAGTATGTAGAGGCTCCTTATTTATCTGACTCTGTAGAAGCCATACAATAGCACTATATGTAAATGAAATTTAGATATTTAATTGAACTCCTGGAATGGGAACTGGTTTTAAAAGTAAGCCTCTCGGATTCATGACTAGCTGAATAATTCTGCCTGTTCTATTGCAAAGGACAAATCAGTTTTCAGTCTGGAACTGGGAGAAGCTAGAAAGCCATTACCTATGTAATTGTTTCAATTTGTCAAAATTGAATAACACTTTTTTTTTTTTAATCATTAAAATGTGGGGGCTTCTTTTAGATGATCTGAAAGGACCTTTGGAAACACACATCAAAACTTACAATGAAAAGCATCCTGGACTGCTGAAGATCATCAGACATCAGAAAAGACAAGGCCTAACACAAGCCAGGGTTTCTGGCTGGGAGGCATCAACTGCAGATGTTGTTGCAATTTTGGATGCCCATATTGAAGTGAACATCGGATGGTAAGACTATGAAGACTGCAGGGTTTCTGAAGTGGGGAGAGGGAGATGGACAAGGAGTATAACTGTGTAGTTGGGACAGGCATCCCATATATGGTTCTCCTTTCTGACCTGCCACATGTTAATTAACAGCCACCAAGTCATTTATTTCTGAGATGAAAAGGGATACAATTATTTGAAATAAATAACAAAGCAGACAGGTAACAGAGTAACCTGTTTAGTGAAGAGGATGTGAGAAATGCCTACCTTCTCTGTATATTTATTACATTTCTAGGAAAAAAGACTTCATGCAGTGAAATAACAAGAATGATGCAGATTATTTAGTTCCACTGCCAGCAGCTTTGGCCCTTTATAAGTATATCAGACAGCCATAATACCCACTGACTTTAAATTGGTTTGATTCTTATTCCAACTTTGGCTAACGTTTATTTGCTGTTGCCTGTTAGTTTAACAGCGCAATGTAGTTCTGTAGGACTCTTTTTTGCTAAAAGAGACAAAACAAGTGGCTGATGATGGATATTTACATTCTGTTAGGTAGTGATGTCTACAGTACTGTTTTGCGTGAAATCTCTTTACATTCTCTCCCCTCTGGGTTGTTGAATTCACTGGCTGACTATTGTCCATGTTGTCTCACTTTCTGGGAGCAAGGTTCTTCTCCTAGCCGTTCTCAGGCCACAATGGCTCTGTGTGGGCCAGGTCTCTCTTCCTCTCTTGATAACACACGAACTGACACTCCTGAGCTGTTACAGTCTTAAAGGTAATGCTGAAGTCCTTTAGTCATGGCTTTCAGGACTCATTGGGATAGGCTGGGCTGTCAAGAGTATGTAGGGAGAGATAAGGTCAGTTCTTTTAGGCCTAACAACAATTGAGGTGCAGCAAAAAGACTCCCTCTGTCAAAGTCCTGTATGCTCTGACCAGATTCTTTTAGATATTCCACATGAGGAGGGTTTAATGTTTTTATACTAAATGTACTTATTTGAAGATACATGGGATTTTGGTTTAGAAAAGTGATACAGCAATGTACTGAAATCACAACACAAGCACAATATAGCAATTGCAATATACAGTTGAATCACAATACAAACAGGATTCACGTTACTGCTCTCTATATACTCAGTATCAAGATGCTAGGCAATGGAAAGAGTACATGGGTTGAAGCCAACTCATGCGTGTTGCTTTCTTCAACGTTCATTTTTCTGAGTGTTCAATTTTTATACTCTATATTGGGCTGAGCCATATATACACTTCCCCCAAGTTGGTCTGGCTGACTCAGGAAGATAATACTTTCTATTGGTTATTTTAGGAAGGCTACGTACATAACCAGTCAACTGATACTGCCGTTTATCTTCAACCAAGGCTGCTCTCCGGTCCCCTTGGTGTTGGGATAAGTTCTACTTCCTTTAAGATAGCTGTAGTCACTCCCTACATTCTTCTCTGAACTTTATGAGCACATCATCCTTGTGCTGGAGCAAATGTCCACATCATCCTTCTCTGAGCCTTCTTCCATTGTAGGGATTCATTGATCGGTCACACCTTTTCCCTCATACAGCAGCATGTCATCGAGGCACAGGGGAAAGATGGCGAATGATCAACCTCAGGGCTTACAGCACCGCTCAGCGTCTCCTTCCTTTCCTTTTCCCTTCTTGTCTCTTCGTGCAGGTAGTGAAGACTCTCTGGAGTCTGTAGGAAGCAGACGCAGGTAGCAATAAACCCAGCAAGTTAAGCGTGGAATTTAGTGTTAGTTTGATTAATGACAGTCAAAATGCAGAAGCAGCCTAACAGAAGGGAGAATCAAGTCATGGCATTAGCAATTTGGTTTACTAGCACTCCAAGACTGGTATGTTACTTTTTGTAGAGGCCAAGGTCAATGACTTAAATAAAGTAGCTAACCCAGTTTTACAGGTGGTAAAGTTTAGTAATGTTCATTAGATTTACACTTTTTCAAGCTGAATAGACTCTCTTAATTTTGGTAGGGCTGAGCCTATCTTGTCTCGTCTAAAAGAAGATCGCACTGTTATACTATCACCGGTATTTGACAATATTCGTTTTGATGACTTTGAGCTTCATCAGTATTCACCAGCTGCAGATGGATTTGACTGGGCACTCTGGTGCCTTTATGAACCTTTACCAGCTGCATGGTATGCTCTGCAAGATGAAACAGCTCCGGTCCGGTAAGTATGAATAACATTTGAGAGTGAGCAAAGATACATGATATCCAACATAGAGCTAGCAGAGGGAAGAAGATGTTTCATAGGTGGTGGCATAGATACCTGTGAAGCACATTATATCTAGATAGTTGGTTTGCAAGTGTGGGTTCTTTAGCAGGCCCTAAAAATCTCAGTACACCAGTTGTAGGGTTATATTACAGAATCTGCCCTGTGCTGATCCTGCTGTCAGATTTTCAGGCAATGCCGAGGCATTGATTTTTCTGCCTTACGTTCCTTAGCTAGGAGTGTGGTAGCAATATCTGTTGACTGTACAAGATGGACTGTGGCCCTTCTCCATGCTTACCCAACAATATGGAGTGAATCTCACAACTTTGCTGGACAATTGCATGTCTGAGCTGTGAGGACTCACATGTATTCAAGTTGTGCAGTTCTTTCTTTGGAGATGTTGGAGTGACATATGATTATAGTGATCTTGGGTAGCCTTTTTCAATTCTTATCACTTGTGTATCACACAAAAGCAAGAAAAAGACATGAAGACAATACGCAGCTGTTAGACATAAAGTGACCCCTTACTGCCAGGCTGAGGATCCAATATATTTGCTTCTGTTCCTGATATCTTCCTTAAATGCTCGGATTAGTTTATGTATTCAATACAAAATGGTTGCTGATACTATGACGCCAGCAGCCATCTCATGCTGAATATATAAACGCATTTGTTTCCCTGTTCATTACATACATTACATTCATCCCATACATTACAGAATGTAAGATGGTGTTGACTGTCCCTTAATTATTAACAGCCATCTATCAAACAATATTTAAAAAAAGTTAAGAGAAGATATAGTCATTAGATTTTTCTAGTCCTACCTTATTTTATTGGGTTTATGGGACAAGGTTTTAGTAGTGGGGGAGGCTGCAAGGGTGGCTTCTGTGAGAAGAGGTGAAGGGCTGCACGCATGTTCACACAGTCTGTTCCAACTGGCTCCAGAACAGACACAGTGCTGGCCAAAGCTGAGCCAATCAGCAACGTTGATGGTTCCTCTCCCATAACTTATTTAAAATAGGCTAAAAAATACTGTGTAGCAGCTGTGAGTGAGAAGAGGAAGAGAGAGTGAAAGTGAGAGCAACAGCAACAGCCCTGCAGACCCCAAGGTCGGTGAAGAAGGAGGAGGAGGAGGTGCTGCAGGCCCGGAGCAGAGATTCCCCGCCAGCCCATGGAGAAGACTATGGTGAGGCTGGCTGTCCCTCGGCAGCCCATGGAAGACCACGCTGGAGCAAATGTCCACACAGCAGCCCATGGAGGACCCCATGCTGGAGCAGGTGGATATGCCCTGAAGGAATCTTAGGATCATAGAATTGTTTAGGTTGGAGAAGACCTTTAAGATCATCAAGTCCAACCATCACCCTAGCATGGCCAAGTCTACCGCTAAACCATGTCCCTTAGCACCACATCTACACACCTTTTAAATGCCTCCAGGGATGGTGAATCTACTGCTTCCCTCAGCAGCCCGTTCCAGTGCCTGACAGCCCTTTCTGGGAGGAAATTCTTCCTAATACCCAATCTAAACCTCCCCTGGTGCAACTTGAGACCATTTCCTCTCGTCCTATCACTTGGGAGAAGAGACCGACCCCGACCTGGCTACAACCTCTTTTCAGGTCGTTGTAGAGAGCGATCAGGTCTCCCCTCAACCTTCTCTTCTCCAGGCTAAACAACCCCAGCTCCCCATCAGACTTGTGCTCCAGGTCCTTCACGACCTTCGTTGCCCTTCCTTCTCTGGACACGCTCCAGCACCTGAAGGTCTTTCTTGTGGTGAGGGGCCCAAAACTGAACACAGCACTTGAGGTGCGGCCTCACCAGTGCCGCGTACAGGGGGACT